CCCCTTAGGAAGACATGTTTATGTGTTATTTTGTGGAGGGTTTTAAATATGTTAAATAAATTATATATGTATTTAATTATTTAAATATATGGATTTAAAGATTTATGTAAAAAGGCCAGTTATTAAGTATTTGGAAAAAATGAAATGAATTAGTCTATAACCTAACCCAGAAAAAATAATTGATTTTCTCAGTTATAATAAGTCACATAACATATAATTTACTTATTTAATAATTTTGAGATTCACTTCTCCCTCTCCAATATTTTATTATAAATTTTTAAGCATACCAGAAACATTGGAAAAGTTTGTGATGAGTACCCATATGTCCACCACTTAGATTCTACAGTTAATGTTTACTATACTTGATTTATCACATATCTTTCCATTTATTCATCCCTCTATCCATCCATAAATCTATCTAATTTTTAGTGCCTTCCAGAGTAATTTGCGGGTATCAGGACACTTTCTCTAAAATGTCAGAAAGCATACCTTTACCTAGAGTTCAGTTCTTTGTAAAATTTGGAAACAATAAAATATGTAAATTCTGAGTATATCAGAAGTTCCAGTAAATGGATACATCTTTGCATTCCATGCTTAAGATGTAGAACGTTGCCATCATGCTAGGGTCCTGTCCCTTCCCGGTAATAAATCACCATTGCTTTGATTTTTTTTTTTTTTTTGAGACCAGCCACACCGCGCTCAGCCAGTGAGCACACCGGTCATCCCTATATAGGANAAACATAGCTTACTATGCCTGCTCCAGACTTCATATAAACAGAAGCATACAGTATGTACTCTTTTGTACATAGACTTATTTCTCCCAGTATAATTTTGAAATTCATCCATGTTGTGACTTGTCTCATTTGTTCTTTTTTATTGCTGAGTTCATTACATGAATATACTAGGATTTGTTTTTCCTTTCTCCTGTTGATGATCATCTGGATTGTTGTTTTTGGCTCTTATGAATATAGCTGATATGAGCATTCTTGTATGTCCTTTTTATGGATGTTTCTTTTCACTTCTATTGGAGTGAAATTGGTAGGTCATACGGTAGGAAT